TGATCAACGATTTTTATCTGGTTCAGTTTGTAGAGTGTCATTAATGAAAATAGCACGTTTCTGATCATGACTAAATACACCCTAAGGTCAGGATTTTTAGGATAGGATGATTGGCTTGTTGGCAATCAAATTTTTATTATTATCATTATTATCATTATTATTTCGAAGAATAAAATTAGAGAAAGTATGTAACGGATAAACAATAGAATCTTTGAGGTTGTTTCTATTTTTTTTATTTTTTTACGACTTATAAAGAAAAGAATTGCAAAAGCAAAACTTTACATGGATAAAATAAATTTTGTTATTATGAAACCTTCTACTAAACTCGACTTCTGCTACCACGTCATCAATAAAAAAAAAATGCGAAAAAAAAGGATAAAGAAAAAAAGGAAAAGGTGCAAAAACACATTTACTTTTACGCCTTATTTAAAAAAAAGTCATCATCATCATCGTCATCGTTTGTGTTTTGTCATTATTACGATTTAAAATGCATACGAACAAACAAACAAACCGTTTGTCGTTTTGTTTTATTTAAAAATAAATTAACAATCCCAATGTTTTCATACCGCCATATTTAGATTGAATAAAAAAAAAAAAAAATCGCGAAATTTATTTTTCCTTTCTTTTCCTTAATAAATAATCCGTTATCATCATTATCATCATCATCATCATCATTATTATCATCATCGCCGTCGTAGTCGTCATCATCATCATCATTATTATTATTATTATTATTAAAATTTATTCGATTTAATTATTAAAAAAATAAATAAATAAAATAAATCCAGAAAGTTTGACGAAAATGTTTTTAATGACATGACATTATTCTATTTCCAAGTTTTTTTTTTCCGTTTCCTCCGTCGATCGAAACCACGATAGTAATAATAATAATAATAATAATAATAATAATAAAAGCCAACGGCCATAGCGTGCTGGTCACACCGGTTCCCGTACGATCACCGAAGTTAAGCAGCATCGGGCGTGGTGCAAACTTGGATGGGTGACCGTCTGAGAACGCCACGTGCTGTTGGCTTAAAAGAGCAAAAAAAAAAAAAAAAAAAAAAATGAGAACAAGACAAAGTAAGAACCAAAAAACAAATCTTGTTCTACTGTCGACCTGAGGCAGCTCGACGAGAACGTGAATTTCACTGCTTCTGACCCTGGCCACTCCAAAGATGTTAGTCACCGGAGCCCAGTTCAGGAGACAAATCGTTCCCATCGAAAAAGACGGACTCAGGAAGACCTTCAAGAATTGATGTGGTGCTATCTTATAATAAGTGGCACCACCGAAATTCGAGTATTTGTCCCTAAGGAATCGGGTAGAAACCTCGGATAAATACTTAAAAAACTCCGACAAGTAGCCTTGTCGTGTTTAATGGTGGATAAT